TTTTTTTTTATTAAAGATCTAGTTGTATAGAAATTCAAATAAATGATCCTCTTTCGCTCAAGACTTCATAATTCCTTCTCTCCCTCTCCTTTATGATCAACTAATTTACAAATTAAGACAATAAGAAGTTGTATGAACGAAAATGGGATAATCAAGCGGATGAGTGAATGCAAAGGAGGTTTCATGTTGGATTTAAGATTGGGAACGCATCCCTGTTATCGACTGTTTCCATGGTAATAGATGAAAATTTCTTTACCCACAGAGACGGCCTCTCGATTAGTTCATGCGCGCCACCGCTATCAAACTCTGATCGAACAGTTCCCATAAGCCTGAGCAATCTTCCCTAATTATCTCTGCGAGTACATATTGTCGTTTTTCTAATTAGTGTCCGCCTTTTTTGTGTTCATCAGCGCCATCTGACGCCTGCTACTTGTTCCCCACAATTGGCGATAGCGATTTGTCGCCCTCTACTGAGGGTTTCTATAACTAACCTATGGCGGAGCCTACCAGGTGTTTGGGCGCCGGAATGAATGGTTATACGAAATTGAGATCTTTGCCTCCCATTACCGTATTATTATTGGACTTTTGTAAATATGAATATCAATCCAAAGTTCAATTTGACATTTTGTGATATTAGAGACTTACTAGGAGATACTAGGAGACCAATTCAAGCAGGAGAGGAGGTATTATTAGCTGAACACATCCTCATCTGTGGTGTCAAAAGTTATAACCAGAATTACGTAGAAATTGTGTCAGCTTGTCGTCAATCGTCACATTGGAATAATTACCACGAAATAACTATAAAAATTCTGTTTGAGGAAAATAATTAGCAAATGTACTTGTCCAGCTGGCTTGGGTGAAAAATGGAAACATATTTTTGCGACACTTCTGTATATTTATCGGTAAGGATAAATATAATTATAAATTATAAATATAATTTATATTTTCAATATAAATTATTTATAATACTGACCTCGTTTCGTAAAGTTATCTGCAGAAAAATGCAAACTGCAAACTCTCATTTCTCGGTCATGAGGCCTGTCGATTTTCAATACCTCCATCCACTTGTTCCGCAAGGCCGCATCCGATGGGAAATTGTGAAAGCTAAAATTTGATTTATCTTTAATTTTACAGTTTGGCACACAGCAGACTCTTCGATCATTTTTTTTTATAAACATTTGTTGTCACTTTTATGAGTAAAATGAAGTTCACTTTGTTTTGATGTGAAGTTGGTTACAAACTAGGACGTGACGTTGGCTATTTCGCCTTAGAGTAGTTCCGAATCAGTCCGTTTTTCTGGGTGTAGCGCTGGAAACACTTTTGGCATCGCCAATCATGTTGCTTCGCGTGTCTGACGATTTCTACTGGCAACAGTTGATATCACAATAATTCTGATTAAGCCACGTCAAATCATCATCCTACAAAAATGGTAAGATAATAGGGAAGAATTGACTGAAAGTTATGACAGAGACTATGACGATTCATCAATAACTTTTGAATTATTCTTATAATTAATCATGAAATTCGTACAATTTCCATTTTAAAACCTTACCGGCATGCAAAGTCTAACCATTAAATCCTCGTGCAATTTTCTTTATTTTATTCAATCGAATAGTTGTTTCCTTTTAGATCGAAGTAGAATCAATGACGAGGTATGTCTCACCAGTGAATCCAGCGGTCTTCCCAATTCTAGCCCTCGTATTACTTGGAATTGGTATTTTCTTCACCGCCTGGTTCTTCGTCTATGAAGTGACCAGTACAAAATTCACGAGAGATATATTCAAAGAGTTATTAGTTTCTCTCGTTGCCGCAATATTCTCCGGATTTGGAGTGTTGTTTTTGATGCTCTGGGTGGGAATTTATGTTTAGGTAAGATTAAAATTCTATCGAACTCTTGAAAAAATCAGTACAACACTAATACTTGTCTCCAAAAAATGTCTTTCAGCTTCAACATCGTGTCATCTCTCAACTACAAGTTGATTACTCCTCCGAATTTTACATTTCCTTCTTTCTGTACTCTAAGAATTGGAAATTCATGAATTGAATTTAAGCAATAAACAAATCCATTTTATATTACACAGTTATTATGGGGAGGTGTATTGCAGATTTTGTCGTCGATTTATTTATTATTGAACAAGCACGTCGAGTGAAACAATCATATTTATTACAATAGATAATTTTCCTTAGCTAAATACATTGTTCTGCATCATTAGTAGAATAGTATACACGATAAAATAATGAGTTTGGAGCAAGTCTTTATGTTCGACAAACGGAAATTCATTTATTTACATTCATGTATAATCAACCAGCAAGCCCAGCCTTTTGCCTGCAGCGTAGCATCAGTGCTCGTAGCATAAATTGTCGACGAGATAATTGTCGTACTTGTTTGAGGAATACATCGAGATCTATGGAGCCCTGTCGAAGGCCTTCTCCCAAGTAATAAATGGCATCTTCTGTGGCTGCCTCTTCAGCAAAAGCATTCAACATCCTGAAAGTATAGTCATCGTGTTGTTAACATAAAAAGCAAGTATTTAATTTTTTTCTTTTCAAAAAATGTATCTCCAGCTTCTTGACAGAGATAGAAGTTTCAAAATTGACACTTTGTTTGACATTCGAAAAAACACAGTTTTTTTATATGTAGAAGATATGAATATTTTTTGAAATAAAAAGTACTAATTTTGCCCTGTCCCACTATTCAATTCTAGCTCATACGAGAAATTAGTCTGCATATTTGAGATATAAGCTGTTATTGAATTAATAATTTAGGATACATAAGTACGATTTTTTTATATGGCTTTCTTATTAGGACAAATCCAATTGCTAATCGATTAATTTCTAATTTGTTAACGTACTGTTTATACAGAGGTGCGATAGTGGTTACAGCTTCATCAACATCAATCGATTGATTTATGGAGAGTTTAGCAATTTCCCTCTCAAGCTCCGTCTCCTTATCCTGAAGTATATTAATGTTCTTGTCTAATTCCTGTTTTTCCTTCTGCAATTTATTGAACAAATCCGTGAGTTTTGATGAACCGTTGGTGAGTTCCTGCTGGGTACGACGGAGGGTTTCCAGTTCTGCTTGTAATTGTGAGTGTTGCTCGATTAATCTTCTACGTAGTTTATCTCCAACTGCTGATATCAATGAGGCTCGTATGTGCTCTTCTGTGATTGTATCGGAGTTTCCACTGTTCATAGCTGGCATTGGTGGTGACTGTAAAACAAATGTGAAACAATTAGCATGGGGGGGGGGGTTCACAGTAAAATTAACTTCTCAAGTACGACGCCCATATCGCGCGGTGTGCCCTCATCGGCTGGCGGTCTCCTGTCAACTCGAATTCGCTATTCAATATACGGTAACGTCTGTACTGATGAGCAAAAAATTATGAACTAAAATTTAATGATAATCTTGAACTTTCACCAAAAAGTTATTCAATTATGATATTCCTTCATGCAGATTTTTCTGTCAGGTTTAAGACCAATATCAGTTCAATAGTACAAACAGTTGTCAAGATCAGCGATTGTCAGAAATTTGTTAATAATAAAACCGTAATTCATTGAATGGAAATTTCGTTTGCACCATTCGACAGAAGAATGTATAGAGTATGTTCGGTGAAAATTTCAGTTTTTGATAAAAATTCTCTCAATAAACGAGAGGTTTGAATATGTCTCCGGCATCGAATTCAGTTCCGTAATGTTTATGTTTTGAAGAAAAATATTAAAAATAACGTGAAATTTTTTTTTTAGAATTTCGATATCTACTATAGGTACGATAGATAATGAATTCTTATGAATCACAGAAACGGTTCATATGTGGCATGGACGCCGTATTTGAGGGGTTAAATCGAGAAATTGAAGGCTTACTGGTTGCTTGGTTGGGGGATACGGTGTGGGTGAGTAAGGACTCGCAGGATATCCCGAGGTTGAGTATGAGGGAAAGCTTGGATAGCCTCCAAAACCAGAACCGCCCGCTGGGGGATAGGGTGGTGGTATTCCACTTCCATATGGAGGATTTGATACAAAATGTGGGTAGGGAGTCATAGAGCCGGCGTTCATTTCACCTCCAGGTAGCGGCATAAATGCTGGAAAGGAATTCAAACATGTTAAACTCATATGCACAATTATACCAAGGGAAATGAATCTATGAATTTTAACTGAAATTCATGTTGAACTTCCCTAAAAGCATATATGGGTGTTTTAGCCAGTTATTGGTATGATTTTGTACCTTTAAATATTTTAGTTTGTTGAGGCTTCTTACATGGCATTCTTATCATTCAAAAAGCCCAAAAAAACTTTTTTTTAATTTTTTTTCAATTTGTTTTTTTTAAACAATTTTTCATTTTTTTGTTTTAATTTCAAAATTCATTATTTATCGACCATTTATGGCCAATAAGTAATGAATTTTTAAGTGAAAATTTTTTAAAAATGACAAATTGGGAAAAAATTTTTAAAACGAAATTTGAAAAAAATTATTTTTGGATAAAAAGGATCCGAATCCCAATCTAATTTTTTAATGTGTTTCGTAAAAATAGTCACTTAGGGTAAGGAATGAAGAAAATGTTAAATCGAGATGGGGGAAGCGGGTACCACACACAATTTTCTAGTTTTTTGGCGATTTTAAAGCATTTCCGACGGCGTGAGCTAATTGGCACTATCTTCAATCTAAAGAACGGAAAATTTCCGTCAGAAATATATATTGAAAATACAAAAAAAAGTTTACCTCTGCTGAGACGCAAAATTTTGTCAAAAATCTACAAAATTCGAAAATTAAGCTTGTGGGCGTAATAAAATTTGAAAAAAATGGGAAAAAATTTTTCGAGACCTTTTGAATGATAAGAAAGCCATATAGGAAGGCTCAATAAAATTAAATTTTGGAAGGTACAAAACCATACCAATAATTGGAGAAAACACCCGTATGCTGTGGTGAAACATCAGTATGAGCAACGTCAATTCATGGTTTTAATTTATGAAAATTGTATGTTTTCCATTAAAACTTATCTTTAGTGCATGAATTCATGCCGTTTAAGAATATCTGAGCTGAATCCTAATATAAATAAATCAGTTCGAAAATTTTATCAAATCAATTTATCAATTTTGGGGCCATAAAAACTCTTCTGTGGAATTTAAAAATAAGCAGGGCTTCGAGTCTATCCGAATGAAGGCATGCGTGGAGATGCTGGCTACGGTTTTATCCCGAAGATGAGGTTCCCGGGTAGGGATGTGCAACCTAGTTACTTTCAAGTCCTGTAACGAATACTTTCAGGTGGAACTCCACATGCATAATGTTCGTGTAAACTCCAAGAACCTGTTGAAGCTGTTTTAAGAATTTTGCATAACCCAGTTCCCTCTCTCACTGAAGACGAATGGATGATTTTACGAGAAGTATGCAAAATATTAGAACCTTTCGAGGAAATGACACGAGAGTCGAGTGCTAAAAAACGGGTTTGGGCGTCAAAAGTCATTCCCATGACGCAGGGATTGCTGTCTGTGTTGAATCGCATATTACCTAAGATTTATTATGAGATGGCTCTGACTCTCATCGACAGACATTCAAAACATCAAGAAGCGTTTCGATAAAATCGAATTTAATACTTTCTTAGCTAAAGTAAATTACTTGGATCCTCGTTTAAAAAAGAAGGGCTTCAACGATACCAACGCCCTCCAGAAAGCTAAAGATAGAATATTGAATGAGATGAGTGATCTATCAGCGATAATCAGTGCAACTGAGGGGAATGTAGCTGCACTGAAACCGGTCGCAGACGATAAGGCAGAAAAAAAGTAACGAACACAAAAGAACGAATACTTTCAAGTCCCGTAACGAATACTTTCGGGACTTGAAAAATTATGAATTATGAAAAAAAATTATAAATTATGAAAATGGTAAAAAAAATTTAAAAAATGTAATCGTCGCAGACAATTCTATTTGGAAGAAATTTGACTCTGCCCCAGTAGATAGGAGTCCTCCAGTTTCAGCTGCCATCATCGAGCTCAGACAATTCAATGAGAAGAAAGTCATTGCTCGCACTGAAGATCCACTACAATAGTGGTCAATCAAGGAGCATACATATCCTCGTTTATCAAAACTGGCTAAAAAGTACTGAGATATGCTCGCCTCATCAGTACCAAGTGAACGAGTGTTCTCTAAATCTGGGCAAATTGTGTCTGAGAAAAAGAATCGCCTGAAGTCGACGAATGTCCAAAGCCTAATGTTCCTTAATGCTAACTTCCAGTTCGTACCTCTTAATATGTTGGGAAAAATAAGAAATACAATTTTTTTTTTTTATTCATATTTCTTTCCTACTACCATTACGGTTTTATAGGCTCCCCATTTGTCTGCCTTGCCTCTCCCACTTCTCTCTTCTGATTTTTTTCTGCGTTACCATGGGCCGTCTTACTCTTAACTGTACCCCATACGGGCTAGGACTGCAAGGGAAACCATGGAAAACCCCAGTCGTACAGCCGGCCGATAATGCAGGGATTCCACTGCGTCCATTGGTCACACTGACTCAATGGGCATAGTGGTTCTCTACATTCGTGCCTAGCGACTGTAGTCCCACGCGGTTAGGTGCGCCTAAGCGGACACCCATCCAAGTTGGATGACCGCCGGAGCCACACACTCCCCGCATGACCACTACAGCCACTTCTCATAAGAAATACAATTTTATGATTGAAATAAAATATGGGTCGTAAAAATGATCATTTGTTTGTGCAGATTATTGTGCAAATATCTCTGAAACTCATGGGTTTAAAGGAACATGTTATAAGAGCTTCTTTGTAGAGCAGGAAATTCCCAACAAGAGATGTCTTCTAACATTTTCCTCTGAATCTCTTGCTTTGACAGATATTCCATGAAAAATGTACACATTTGTTTCCAACATAACCCACGTTATCTCTGCAGCGACGATTACATTTTTTAGATTTTTTTTACCACTGATTATCATAATTTAATTTGTTCTTCTGATTGCCGATAAGGTAGAAAAAAAGTACCGAATACAAAAGAACGAATACTTTCAAGTCCCGAAAGTATTCATTACGGGACTTGAAAAATTATGAATTATGAAAAAAAATTATAAATTATGAAAATGGTAAAAAAAATCTAAAACATGTAATCGTCGCTGCAAGGATAAAGTGGGTTATGTTGGAAACGAATGTTTACATTGTTCATGGAATATCTACAAAAGGAAGAGGTTCAGAGAAAAATGTTAGAAGACAACTCTTGTTAGGAATTTCCTGCTCTACAAAGAAGCTCTGTTTGAAACGTAACTCAACCTCTCCAAGACCAAGGTCGATCAGCTCGGCCAATTACGAAAATCATCGGCCCTTTCCGGGTTAACGCTCAGGTCTAGTAGAGTCACCGTAAATCAACGCGAGTCAGTACATCACGGTCTGTCGTATAGCACGTTTTGAATGGAATTCAATTCTGTAGAGTTTAGACCACAGTACATTAGCGTCTATTAACTCGGCGATAGAAATTCAGTAAAAGAAAATCACGTTATTTGTTGACCATTCAACCAGTGACTCACAGTGCAAAACCTATTTTTGTAAATTTGACAAAGCGTGGTTCGAACTCGAGAATAAATACACGTGGATATTAGTTCAAGACTCTCAACAATTATTTCACACCGACGATCCTCTAACCTCCCAATCCACCCTAAATCTAGTTTCTCACCAAACAAGCTCTTATAACATTTTCCTTTAAACCCATGAGTTTCAGAGATATTTGCACAATAATCTGCACAAACGAATGATCACTTTTACGACTCATATTTTATTTCAATCATAAAATTTTATTTCTTATTTTTCTCAACATAGTAAGAGGTATGAACTGGAAGTTAGCATTAAGGAACATTAGGCTTTGGACATTCTTCGACTTCAGGCGATTCTTTTTCTAAGACACAATTTGCCCAGATTTAGAGAACACTTTAGAGAGTACTTAAAAAGCTAAACTGGCTAAAGCCAGTTTTGATAAACGAGGATATGTATGCTCCCTGATTGACCATCATTGTAGTGGATCTTCAGTGCGAGCAATGACTTTCTTCTCATTGAATTGCCTGTGTTCGATGATAGCAGCTGAAACTGGAGTACTCCTATCTGCTGGTGCAGAGTCAAATTTCTTCCAAATAGAATTGTCTGCAACCGGTTTCAGTGCAGCTACATTCCCCTCAGTTGCACTGATTATCGCTGACAGATCACTCATCTCATTCAATATTCTATCTTTAGCTTTCTGGAGGGCGTTGGTATCCTTGAAGCCCTTCTTTTTTAAACGAGGATCCAAGTAAGTTGCTTTAGCTAAGAAAGTATTGAATTCAATTTTATCGAAATGCTTCTTGATGTTTTGAATGTCTGTCGATGAGAGTCAGAGCCATCTCATGATAAATCTTAGGTAATATGCTTCAGCTTCAACAGGTTCTTGGAGTTTACAGGAACATTATGCATGTGGAGTTCCACCTGATGATAACGTCGTTGCAGAGTTTGAATGACCCTGAAGTTTGCTGACTTCTGACAGAAAAAAAAATTGACACTGCATATCTGCCTGGAAAATGATGTGATTTGAAAAAAATCAAAACCAATAAGTTCAATATGAGTTTGTTTAATCGTGATGATCGTTAAATATTTTCCCAACGAATTACATAGTCAGTATAGACTGTACAAAATTTTGAAAACTAATAACAACGGAGATTTCCTAGGATTATTCTATTGAAGAAAAAACGATTGTTACAGCTGAAGTTCTACGAAATCTCGCCGTGATATTTTTCAGTTTTTTTTGTCATCATTATTTGATAGTTTATCCGCTGTTGTATACTTGAACTTTGTCGAGCTGTAGCATATTCATGAATTACTTAATCGAAGAAACCAAAAACATCACAATTAGAAAAATTAAATATCTTCTTGTGATTTTTCTCCTTTTTATCATTTGGCGTTCAATTCATGAAATTTTTTCATGCTGATTTTTTGAAAAAAATTTGACATCGGATATCGTATTAAATAATGAGTGGATTTTGAAAGAAAAGAGAGGAATTTCGTGTTCCATTGAAATCTTAACGTGCCAATTTTTTAAAACTTTTTTCTTTCATGTCAGTCA